AATCTTTCTCATTAAAATATATTTTTGTTTATTATAAGATCTCTTCTTTTGAGTTAACTATCTGACTGGATTTAAAAGAAGGCACTTTAGATTTGAGTCAGAATAGTAAGAAGATACTCATAATTCGTGCCATCTTTTGAAAGCAAATAGTAAATTGTTAAAGATTAATTTTCCTTTCAAAGCTGCAACAGTTTAAAGAAAGAGAATCAAATTTGTTAGTCTTTTTCTCTACATTAACCCTCAAGGAAGTAAAGTAAAGATTCTCTTGATGCCTTTAAAAGCCTGCAAAGCAAAGCCAGCGTGTCTGTGTAAAAGACAGCTTTCAAGGAGCGATTCAGAGGCACTGTCTTGCTAATTCGCTAGTAACTCCGCTCGCTAGCCAACGCTTCAAAGTAAAAAGTGCCTTGTACCTGATTTAAAATTACCTTTGGATCTGTTCACAAGCTAATGTTTATAGTGAAGAGAAAAGAAAAAATCTACACCTTTGTTCCTTGCATGAAAAGTTTGAATTTTAATACCAAAAGGAGCTTGGGCTTTATCCCCCTCCTCTCTTTGCCAGTGAAGTAGGCAGCCTGAAACAAAGAACTGACAACAAATTTGTTTCTTCTCCACGAGTTTGCTAGCCAAGGAAGGCTGATTGCCCTTCAATAAACTCATTTGTTGCTATAGTGACACAGTCCCTAGGAATGCTTGGAATTCCAGCCAATGTTATGGGATAAGGAGGAATCTAGTTACAGAGGCAGAACCAACCCCACATAGTATCACAGAAGCACCCTGGTGGTCATGCCAAAAATTTTTTTTAGCTGAGTTACAACAGCCACAATTAATTCAGCACACAACAGATGGAAACAAAGTACTTCATTGCACTATGCAAATCTGTTAGTTAAAGCGCAAGCTACTTAAAGTTATCCCAAGCTACTAACACCCCCTAGAGGGCACAGAGTGAACTTACCAGAAGCATTCACTCACTCACTCAAGCTGAACACCAAACTGTTCCAGCTTGAGGGAACTTAGGCAGAAGAAATCAAAGCCAAGTCTCTTTGGCTATTATCACAAGCTCAACAGTGCCAGGTGGAAGTTTGTACCTCTACATTCTCTCAGTGGCCACTAGCAGTAACGTGGTAATAGGAAGAATTTGGCTAGCCTTTCTTCAGATGCCCCCTAGTGGTTAAAGGAGGCACTACATGCAAGCCTTTAACTGCGCCCAGAGAAGGCCCTCTAGTGGACAAAGAATGAACCTCGAAGCCACGTGTCTGGAACAGCCTCATCCTCTCGCCACACATCCAGCGTGTGGCATATTCCAGCGTGTCCCAACAATCACATGTCACAGGCGCCTCCCGCCTTTCGAAGGCATCCTCCTGTCTTAGCTGAGCATCCAGAATTTCACAGGAAGAGCAAATAATCATAGATGCTAAAGCTGCTGAAGCCGTCTTCCACGTAGTACAGGAGGAGCGGCAGAAAAAGAAGAAATTGGCAGCTATAGAACTTGAGGAAGCTGAAATAGAGGCCAAGCTAGAAGCTGAATCAATCAAAATGAAGAACGATCGAGAAGCTGAAGCTGCCAGAGTGAAGGCCGATCGAGAAGCTGAAGCTGCCAGGTTGAAGGCCGATCAAGAAAATGAAGCAGCTCAAATGGAAGCCAAACGAAAGGCTATAGCAGCTAAAATGAAGGCCAAAAGAAAAGACGCCCAAGAAGAACTTGAACTTACTCAAAGCCAAAGAGTTATGGCAGACAAAATGGCTAGAGCGGAAGGCCTTCAGAAAATACTCCAGCACACCACTTTCTTGCCAGACAGGCAACAACTGGAAAACAAAGAGCGTCGTAGCCGTGTACAGAGCTACGTGGACAACCAAAGCGCATTCCAGAATGCACAGGTGAGAGCGCCACAGCCAGTCACAAGTCCCCCAAGACTGAGTAGACGAACAGAGGAATCTCAACGACCTGATTTGCCGGTCAACCACAGAGTTGATGTCACGACACCTAGGTCACGAGATCCTCCCGCCGTTGCTGCCCCATCAAACCCTCCGCTCCACACCCTCAATGACAACCTGATGAGATTACCAGCAACGACAACGACTGCACAGCGGGGAGTGCCACAAGATCTTTCCACCATTATTACCCCAGCAACGGCAATGACTGCACAGCGGGGAGTGCCACAAGATCTTTCCACCATTATTATCCCACAGAACCCGCCAAACCATACCACTAATGGCAATCGGACGGATCCACCTGTAGCGCCAACGGCCCTACAGCAGAACTAGCCGTCACTCAGGGACGAAGTTGAAAGAGTTAAAGCCACACTAGAGTCACTAGAGTCCCTGCTGCACCAACAGGAGGCAGAGTCCCAAGGAACTGCCACCAATCCTGATTACAGAGGACAGCCTCGAGCATCAGCTCTGCTAGCCTACCAGGGAGCTAGCTACACTCTACCAGAAACACAGACCCTCCAACACGTAAGCAAGCAGGAGCCTGTGCTCCCTCATCTCAATGCCACAGCAAAGGAGTTCAGACCAAGCCAACAAGGTCCCTTGCACGTGACATGGCAAAATACCCTCAGCCAACAATACGCCGAAGGAAGTTACCAGCCAGCCATGGTGCATGCCCCCACTCACGGAAGGGATCCACCATCTCCACCAAGCTATAGCCCGCACACGGGATCGATGTATTGGAAGAAGGTTGGACTTGGCAGCCAGAGGGGTACGGAAATTCTCCGACAAGGCTGGAAGAGATTACTTGTTGTGGAAACATATCTTCAAGCACGCCATCAACGAAGAAAAGGCTGAGCCAGACGAAGAACTTGTTCAGCTGACAGCATGGTTAGGCCCAGAATCTATAAACACTGTGAACGACATCTTTGCATCCCATTTGGGCGACCCCAACATCGGCCTTGCAGAGGCTTGGGCCGCACTTGACGAGGACTACGGTGATCCCTCAGTGACGGAGTCCTCGCTTCTGGACCGCGTTTTTGATTTCCCCGATATAAGAATCAACGACCACCAACAGCTGAAGACTTTCTCGTCACTCATTATTCAACTACGGTCAGCACAACAGGACCCTACCTTGCCAGTATTAGCTTGCCTCGACCTGCTTATAATACAAACTTCTATCATCCAAAAACTACCACAGTTGATATGTGAACAATGGATCGAGTTTTCTCAAACTTACGGGGAAGACAATCAAAACAAAATTCCCCCCTTTGCAGTTCTCGCTAAATTTATCAGCAAGAAGGTTAAACTCTACAATGACCCCCGGTACCTTCCTGTCAGAGAAACACACTATCCGACGACCGGGCAAAACAGTCACAGCCCTGATGTAACCAAGGGATCTGGCCAAGCTACGGACAGAACCCCCCTTTAGTATATAAAGCAGACATCACGCCTCCCCCAAAGAAGGCTCCAGACGAACGAATATCGAGAAGCGTTTCTTCGAATCCGCATCCAACTACAAAAGGCCTGACTTGCCCAATGCACAAGTCTTCTCACTCTCTAAATGATTGCAGAGAATTTAGGAAAAAATCCCTAGATGACCGAAAGACCCTACTCAAAGAGAATAGGATATGTTTCAAATGCTGTGACTCTATGGATCACACGGCCAAGGACTGCACAGCTAAGGTGAAATGCCACCTGTGCAACAGTGACAGGCACCCAGCAGCCTTACACCTAGAACCTAAGACGCTGTCTAAGGAGTCACGACAAGCAACTAGCTCTACACCAGACTAATCACCGACCGAGTCCTGTTGCTAAAGAAGACCAAATTAGAAAATTGAACCTCTTCAGTTCCAGCTGTTGTTCCTGATTTTTCAGCTCCAGCTGTTCCTGAGTTTCCAGATGTTCCTGATCCTGATTCTTCAGCTCCAGCTGTTCCTGTGTTTCCAGATCCAGCTGTTTATGTTTTCCAGGTTCTTCAGTTCCTGAGTATCCTGCGAATCCAGTTCCCTTTGTTCCTGAGAAACTTTCAGTTCCAGGTTTTCTATTCCAGATTTGGTTCCAGTTTCCTTCGCAGGAAGAAGACCTTGTCTCACTGGGAGACAAGACTGCATACCAGAACTATTGGCCCATGGGACTTGCGCACTGGGCCCACCCACTTGACGAACTAGTTTGCCCAGCTGAGGTCCAGATCGTAAAGCCACGTGAGACAGGTCGTGACTCAAAGACACTTGTACCAGGCTGATCACCAATTTGGTCCCATTGCTGATGAAGACTGAACCAGAAGATTAAACCTCAAATTATGTATTGTCTTATGCATTGTTTGATATAACACTTGCCTTTTTCATAATTGTGCATGTTTTATATTTACCTTATAGTTATGCATGTTTGATACCAAGTTTTACCTATTTAGTCACAAGTTAGTTAACTGTGAGTATTGCATGCCTTGATGCTATGTTTTTACTATTTTAGTAGTGGAAATATAAATTTCCAAGCGGGGAGTATTCTGGAACGTATATGTAGCCCTAACTAGAGAGCAGGTATCAGTGTGTCAGAGTGTCTGGCAGTTATTGGGTTAAATGCTAGGTATGTGGATGGGTCAGTGGGAGGAGTTCCAAAGGTCATTGGGAGACTTCCTGGACACAAGCCATATGGGAATCTCTTTGTCTGTAAAAAGCATGGGCCATGGAAGGTCACACAATGAGCCTGAGTCGTTAAAGATGGTGTGAAGAGCAATATCTTCTTATCTAAAGGGATGATCTAAAAGGTGGACAAAGATGTATTTTCCGGAGCGTCAACCATAGCGTGAATGCAAGTAATCTTTCTCATTAAAATATATTTTTGTTTATTATACGATCTCTTCTTTTGAGTTAACTATCTGACTGGATTTAAAAGAAGACACTTTAGATTTGAGTCAGAATAATTAGAATTCAACTCCCACAATTCCCCATCCTGGTCATTCTGGTTAGGAATTCTGGGAGCTCATTCAATATCCATTGGAGAAAGCTGAACTATTGGATGTAAGTCTATCAGCTACTCACACCTGCTTTTAATAGGCTGCAACCCAGACACACCTGACTTTTCCAATGAAGTTTTCTCCACCTCGTGACAGATCAATCGGATCTAAGGAAATAAGGTAATTTGAAGTCTTGCTTTTTTTCCTCTTCCTCCCAGACATGAGAAACCGCTGAAAGAGAACACCCAGCTGTTGGTGAGAATCATTCCTGGTTGCCTTTTTAATTTCCATCACTGCTGTTTCAATATTATTGAATGTCAAAGATATCAAAAATGAAAATTGTCATAACAGCAAGTTCACCTCTATAAAACTAACTTTTGCTCAGGTTGGATTTGTACCCCATAGTAAAACAGTTGTTCAGTCTCACTATAATAATAATAATAATAATAATAATAATAATAATAATAATAACAACAACAACAACAACAACAACAACAACGTTGGAAGGGATCTTGGAGGTCATCTAGTCCAACCCCCTACTCAGGCAGGTAACCCTTTACCATTTTGGACAAATGGCTGTCCAGTTTCTTCTTAAAAACTTCCAGTTTTTATTGTGTGAACTTTTATTGTGTGAACACTGCTGCTGGGGTTTGTCCATAGCAGCCTTTCCCAAGCAGGGTGTCCTCCAAACATATGGACTCTAATGTGGCCATCGGTGACAATTCTGAGAGCTGAAGTCCACCCAAAGTACAGTACATTTCAGCAGGAACAAAAAGTCCCTTCTGTTTTTGGCAGGATTCAGACAACCTACCTGCTTCCTGAAAGTAAGTTCAAAGGAAACTGCATTGTGAATTAAACTGAATCAAAATATTTTAATATCAGCCTCGACAAGGTGATAGAAGGCAATAGAGGTGAAGACTCTCTCAAATGAGTGACTTCAAGGACACATCCATCCATGCTGTTGTTTTTTTAATTAATAAAATAGAAGTATTTTGACACCTTCCCGTTTTTCAACTTCCAATTGGTTCTTGTACTGAACAAGTCCCATCATATTAGCTTTTTCAAAATCAGTTAAGGATGGCCAGATACTGCCAACTTCTTTGACTGACAACCATTACAACAGTTAACAAACTCAGCATTGTTAGTATCACAGCATTCTTGCAGGTGTTATGAGCTTCCAGCTAATGCATTGTCACTTCAAATATGTGAGATTGATCAGTCTTTAAGAACTGTAGGCACTTTCAAAGACTAAACATGTGTGATGGATGCCTTGAAAGATTTATTTTTTTGGTATTTCAATATTTCTAGACTTGACACTTGTTTGCAAGCTGAATCCTTTACAGAGCATCTAACACATATTTTTAAAATAGCATAATTTATTAAACATATATGGGTAATCCTCACTTAACTGGGACCGGAATGTTTGTCGCTAAACAATAAAGTAATAAAGCAGCACATTATATGAATAACGCCACTTAACAATGGCAATTTTGGCAATCCCTGGTTACCATCGTTAAGCAAATCCCTGTAAATTGTTAATCAAGGACCTCATGTGATCTCAACCTGACTTTCTGTCAGCTTCCCTGTTAACTCTGCTTGTCAAAAACTGGAAGGTCACAAATAACAATTATGTGACTGTGGGATGCTGTAATGGTCAGAAATCTGAGCTGGTTTGTGAAGTGCCCAGATCATGATTGTGTGATTATGGGGATGCTGCACTAGCTGGAATTTTGAAGGCTGGTCAAAAGTACCACCTCTTCAGCACCTTTGTAAGTTTAAAATGAATGAGTATTTGTTAACAGAGGACTATTTTTGCCATAGGATGTAATGGGTGCTTCTTGTAAAAGGGATCACAATACTGGACTTCTTTTCAATTGGTTTGTTTCAGGACTTCATCTCCAAACAGTAGTTAGCAGAAACTTTGCTCTTTCTGGGATAACTTTGCTCTTTTTGGGATGCAAATTCAAATAAGTTTTTCAGAATCACATATTTTTAACTGTGTGTGTGTTTCTTTTTAAGCACAGTATCATTCTTTGCTTTCTGATACCTTTTTCCCGTTTTCCATCTCAAGGTGTAAGTAGTAGAAGGGGAAGATGCCCTTGTCCATCCCTTTCCGGTCTCGTGTGATGCGACACTGAATTGTGTGGCTCTGAGGGGCAGGTTGCAAAACAAATGCTTCAATGTCATCCGCTTTGAGAGACAAGGGAGTGCTTGTTTCCTCGTTTGGGGACTGCCAGGGAGAAGAAGAGGTAAGCTATAATAAAATCTGAGAGTGGGTTTACACTACAGCCCTCTTGCTTTTCCACTCATAAAATGCCAGTTATTGCAAATCTATGGGAACCCACCCTGTTCTCCAAGGATTAGATAAAAGTTGGTAAAAGTTGCCCTCATTTTCTGATTTCTACCGAAAGGGCTAAAATACAGTGTGAAAATACATGCAACGGCAGAGAAACAGTAAGAGGGAGATGCAGTGGGTGGTGGCAAGAATAAAGGAAGAATCAGAAGAAAATTCCTTTCTACTAAGTAATGATAAATGTGCATTAGATGAAATGATAAAGATTTCCCAAGGAGCGTTTAAAATACATCCAAGTTTTATTTTAGCCCCTTACCGCAGATAAGTCAATTTCTTCTTGAATGTACATGACACTCCTGAGAATGTCTTGATCGTCATCTTTGAAGTCTTCATCATCATCATCATCTTCTTCTTCCTCTTCCTCACTCTGACTCCTCCTTCCGTTAGTGAGAGACCCTGGAAAAATCAAGGAGAACTGCAAAAATTGGACAAAGGAAATGAGTCATCCTTTCTTTTTTCCCCTTTCTTTTCTTTAATTCCATCCCAAAGACTACAAACTGTAAAAGTCAAGCCAGCAATCCTGATGTTTGCTTTCCTGTCTGAAAATGTGTGAATCTGGGTTCCCAGATTTTGATAATTTGTTTACATTTCTTTAAATGCTTTTCATTACCAGCACAATTGCTAAATGGCTTAAAGCCCAGGGTTTAAAACCATAAAATCATGACAAATTGAGAGATTAAAACCAGGGCAAGAAGGACAATTGCAAAAAAATTGGCACAGGGCTTATTTTCTGAAATTGCATGGAACAGGACTGAAGTTCCAAAGTCACATGATGCAAGAAACTTCCAAAGTAAATTAGAGCGTGTTTGATCACCTCTTTCCATCCACAACTCCCCACCCATGCAGAAAGACCGCTAACCTCTGTGCCTCAGCATCCAGTCATGGGGCTTTTTCATAGGTGAAGGGGGTACAGTCAGCTCCTGGGAGTATTCCCCGTCACTTTCAGAGTTGCTTTGGAGCACAGTGATGTTATACATGTCTCCAATGGCTCTTTTGGACTCTGTAGACTTTGAGTCTTCTTTGGGAAGATCATTCTTCAAAACTAAATTAAATAAGATGTGAAATATCTTATTTTTATTAATATCTTAATACCACTTTACAATGCCTTGGTAAGGCCACACTTGAAATACTGCATCCAATTTTGGTCACCACGATGTAAAAAAGATATTGAGACTCTAGAAAGAGTACAGAGAAGAACAACAAAGATGATCAGGGGACTGAAGGATAAAACATATAAGGAACGGTTGCTGGAATTGGATATGTCTAGTTTAACAAAGAGAAGGATTAGGGATGATAGCAGTGTTCCGATATCTCATGGCTTGCCAAAAAGAAGAGGGGGCCAAGCTATTCTCCAAAGCGCCTGAAGGCAGGACAAGAAGCAACAGATGGAAACTAATCAAAGAGAAAAGCAACCTAGAACTAAGGAGTAATTTCCTGACAGTTAGAACAATTAACCTGTGGAACAACCTGCTTCCCGAAGTGGTGAATGCTTCAACAGAGGAAGTTTTGAAGAGACTGGACAGCCATTTGTCCAAAATAGTATAGGGTTTCCTGCCTGAGCAGGGGGCTGGACTAGATGACCTCCAAGGTCCCTTCCAACTTTATTATTATTATCGATCATCGCACAGTCAGCCAGATGTTCAGACTGGATTTGGCATTTTGTCTATCTATCGAGTCCTTACCCAGGACCTGGGATAGGCAGATGTGGATGTTTGATGGTATTACAGGTATCGTCGCAGGATGGAAGCAGTTCCTAATAAGGCCGCCCTTTGCAATTGACTAATAGCAAATTTGTCAATGCCAATGGTGTTCAAGTGGTGCTCCAGTTGTTTTGGGATTGCACCCAAGGAGCCTATTACTATTGGTACTACTCTTGCTTGCTTTTGCCACAGTCTTTCTATTTCTATTTGTAGGTCTTTGTATTTTGTTATCTTCTCCAGTTCTTTCTCTTCTATTCTGCTATCTCCAGGCACTGCCACATCCACTATCCCGACTTTTTTGTCTTTCTTATCGACAATTGTTAAGTCTGGGGTGTTATGTTGCAGGTGCTTGTCTGTTTGAATTCTGAAGTCCCATAGCATTTTAATTTTATCATTTTCTATGACTTTCTCTATTTTATGATTCCACCAGTTTTTGCTTACAGGCAAATGATATTTTTTGCAGATCTTCCAATGCACCATTGGTGCTACTTTGTCATGCCGCTGCTTGTAATCAGTTTGTGCAATCTTCTTGCAACAGCTTACCAAGTGGTCCACTGTTTCTTCAGCTTCTTTGCATAGGCGGCACTTACTGTCTATTGCTGTCTTCTCAATTTTGACTTTGTATGCATTTGTCCTTAAGGCTTGGTCTTGTGCAGCCAGAATTAGTCCATCGGTCTCTTTCTTCAATTTTCCTGCTCTTAGCCATTGCCAGGTTTTATTATTATCTGCTTTCCCAGCTATTTTTTTCATGTATTGGCCATGTAGTGCTTTGTCTTCCCATGCCTCTATTCTATTCTTCATTTGGTCTTTCCTGTAGGCCAGTTTGGTCTCTCCAGTAGTTAGTAAGCCTTCCTGATATACTAATTTCAGTGCATCTTCATCATTGTTCTTCAGATATTCTTCCAAAGCCACTTTTTCTTCTTCAACAATCTGATGTACTTGTAGCATTCCACGCCCACCTATTTGCCTTGGTAGATAAAGTCTATCAATGTCACTGCGTGGATGAAGGGCATGATTCATTGTCATTATTTTTCTTGTCTGCCTATCCATTGCTTTTAGTTCTGCTTGAGTCCAGTCAACTATTCCAGCTGTGTACCTAATGACTGGGATTGCCCAGGTGTTGATTGCCTTTATGGTATTTCCTCCATTGAGTTTGGATTTTAAGATCTTCTTCACTCTCTTGATGTATTCACCTCTAATCTTTTTCTTGACTTCAGTGTGCTTGATGTTGTCAGCTTGAAGGATACCCAAGTATTTGTAGTACTCTTTCTCATCCAGATTCTTAATGTTATTTTCGTGGGGCATCTTGATTCCTTCAGTTTTCATTATTTGTCCTTGTTTGATAGTAAGTATGGCACATTTGTCCAAGCCAAACTCCATTACAATATCTTGGCTATATATATGGACATTGTTGAGCAGCGATTCTATTTCAGATGATGTTTTTCCATACAGCTTCAGATCATCCATGTAAAGGAGGTGGGATAGTCTGGCAGATGTTTTTGATGTTTGATAGCCATGTCCTGAGTTATTCAGTATTATTATTATTATTATTATTATTATTATTATTGATCATCGCACAGTCAGCCAGATGTTCAGACTGGATTTGGCATTTTGTCTATCTGTCGAGTCCTTACCCAGGACCCGGGATAGGCAAATGTGGATGTTTGATGGTATTACACATATCGTCGCAGGATGGAAGCAGTTCCTAGTAAGGCCGCCTTTTGCAATTGACTAATAGCAAATTTGTCAATGCCAATGGTGTTCAAGTGGTGCTCCAGTTGTTTTGGGATTGCACCCAAGGAGCCTATGACTATTGGTACTACCCTTGCTTGCTTTTGCCACAGTCTTTCTATCTCTATTTGTAGGTCTTTGTATTTTGTTATCTTCTCCAGTTCTTTCTCTTCTATTCTGCTATCTCCAGGCACTGCCACGTCCACTATCCAGACTTTTTGTCTTTCTTATCGACAATTGTTAAGTCTGGGGTGTTATGTTGCAGGTGCTTGTCTGTTTGAATTCTGAAGTCCCAGAGCAGTTTAATTTTACCATTTTCTATGACTTTCTCTATTTTATGATCCCACCAGTTTTTGCTTACAGGCAATGATATTTTTTGCAGATCTTCCAATGCACCATTGTTGCTACTTTGTCATGCCGCTGCTTGTAATCAGTTTGTGCAATCTTCTTGCAACAGCTTACCAAGTGGTCCACTGTTTCTTCAGCTTCTTTGCATAGGCGTCACTTACTGTCTGTTGCTGTCTTCTCAATTTTGACTTTGTATGCATTTGTCCTTAAGGCTTGGTCTTGTGCAGCCAGAATTAGTCCCTCGGTCTCTTTCTTCAATTTTCCTGCTCTTAGCCATTGCCAGGTTTTATTATTATCTACTTTCCCAGCTATTTTTTTCATGTATTGGCCATGTAGTGCTTTGTCTTCCCATGCCTCTATTCTGTTCTTCATTGGTCTTTCTTGTAGGCCAGTTTGGTCTCTCCAGTAGTCAGTAAGCCTTCCTGATATACTAATTTCAGTGCATCTTCATCATTGTTCTTCAGTTATTCTTCCAAAGCCATTTTTTCTTCTTCAACCATCTGATGTACTTATAGCATTCTATGCCCACCTATTTGCCTTGGTAGATAAAAGTCTGTCAATGTCACTGCGTGGATGAAGGGCATGATTCATTGTCATTATTTTTCTGGTCTTCCTAGCCATTGCTTTTAGTTCTGCTTGAGTCCAGTCCACTATTCCAGCTGTGGAATTGCCCAGGTGTTGATTGCCTTGATGGTATTGCCTCCATTGAGTTTGGATTTTAAGATCTTCTTCACTCTCTTGATATATTCACCTCTAATCTTTTTCTTGACTTCAGTGTGCTTGATGTTGTCAGCTTGAAGGATACCCTAGTATTTTTAGTAATCTTCCTCATCCAGACTCTTAATGTTGTTGTTATTATTATTATTATTATCATCATCATCATCATCATCATCAATCTCTTCTCCTTCTACCCGGATTATTCTGATGCCACATTTTTATATGTTTACCCCTCATATATGTGTAAAAAAAAGAGAGAGAGAGAGAGAGAAAGGAGTCCCTGAGGATTTTACTCCACTAGTCATTGCCAACTATAAGAGGCAGTACTCAACTCCATCTCAAGGACATTGAACCAGCGCTGTCCAAAGACATTTCTACGATCATGTGGCCAGCATGATGTCATGGAGGGCTGTTACATTCCCACCGAAGTGCTACCTATTTATCTACTCATATTTACATGCTTTCAAACAGGAGCTGATGTGAGGATGGGAGCTTACCCCATCACGTGGTGCTCAGATCTTGAACCCGGGCTGCCGGATTTCCAACCAACAAGCCCAGAGTCTTAACTGCTGAGCCATCTTGCTACCTCCTATACATACTCATAAACATACAGTAGTGGCCAAAATTGTGGAAACCTTTTGGGAAAAGTGTATTTTTGAGGTTTGATGGCTAATAACACCACTTATTTTTGGAGTAGTACCACAAAATTATATATCAATGGAAAGATAATTTAATCAAGAATGTAATGAAGCAAAGTTTGTTCAGTTATCTGTACTGTATTCTATGAAAAGTTATAGCCAAATAACCAGAAAAAGGAAGCACAACTTGCTTGGGTTGATATCTGGTAGCTTTCCTTCATCTGATTGTAACCAATGAGCATGAGTGTAGAGAGCCAATCAGATGTCATCTTGTTTTGGCAATGAGCCAATCAAATCATAGTAGGATTCAGTTACTGATGTCATGTATTAAAGCTGAGAGGAGGACATTTGTCAGTATGTTGTGCGATTGCTATCAAGTTGGTTGGGATTTTTTGTGTTCTCATTTAGTGAGCTTGTAAAATGTAATAAAATTAAAGTAATGGTGCAAAGAGATGACTGGTTGCCCAGAAAGTGATATAAAATAGTATTATTAAGCGAACAAGGCTACAGTTATAAAGAAATCAGAAGAAAAATTGGTGGAAACTTAACCAAAGGTGGCATTTCTACTGTACACTTTTCCCAAAAGGTTTCCACAATTTTAGCCATTACTGTATAGTTTTAAATAAACATCTTCTTTCCTCACTACAATTAGAAAATCCATGAAAGGTATGCATTGTTGCATTTCCACTGTCAGGAATCAATAGTCTCCAATAGTGTACATGATACTGTAAAATCTTAGCATTGGGAGATATTATTTAGATCACTTTAACCCAAGTGCCTACTTAATGGAGGCGACAAATTGCAGTATCTACAAAAAAAAGGCTTTACTTTGCTGTATCAACTAAGAGAATACTATTATGTCCCTCAGTAACTGGCTCCATTGTTTAACTGTTCTTCCTACTATTTCATCTCAATTTGCCTTGCTACAATTTAAGATAATTCATTTCAAGTACACAGGTTTTCTGCACCTATTTATTTGCAACAGGATGCATAGACTACCAACACTCATTCCCATTTCATTTCATACATGTATAGTTTCTTTCCCTCAATCCCCCTGGATTCTTACTTACTGTATATTTCAGAAGTCTCACCTTCCATATCCATGACAACTGATGGAACCTTCTGTACTGGGGTTAACCTTTCCTTTTTTGATCTGGTTGCCTGGAACACATGCTCAGGAGCCTCATCTTCCATACCCACCATGGGAGATGGAATGTCATATCTTGGGGAGAAACTTTCTCTCTTTGTTCTGGCAGTCTGGCCATGCCGTTGAGTATTTGGTCGTCCTGTGGATGATCAAAGATGACATCGTATCCAGGAGAGAAGTGTATTAAGTCTCAGAGTCAGAAACAAACTGGAGGAAAGAAAAATCTTTTGACGGTCCGACGCCATTCATACTTTTGGACTGATGAAGATGTAAACTGGATGTTAAACAAGCCATTAACATGGCAATGTCTGGAAAGAGTTCCATCCATAATTTCATTACATATCCCCCTCACAAACATACTTCTGCTACTGAAAAAAAAGCTATTCAACAAACGATGAAAAGTTGTAATACTAATATTTAAAACACTGATAAGAAGGGAATTTTGGAGAGGGGAAGGGTATCCAGATATCATTATCTTCCTTTTCTAACACAGTCTTCATTTTCCTACCATTTCTTTCATTTTTTTTTTCACGTAACAGAATCAAATGTGTGGGGAGAAAAGCAGAATGCCTATAGCAATGTTTCTCAACTTCAATCATTTTAATATGTGTGGACTTCAACTCTCAGAATTCCCCAGTTAGCATGACTGGCTGGAGAATTCTGGGAGCTGAAGTTCACACATATTAAAATGGATAAGGCTGAGAAATGCTGATCTATATAGTATCTTCTGATGAGTAGTATTAAGAGCTCCAGAAGATGGTAGAGGACAGGAAGGCCTGAAGGAACGTTGTCCATGGGGTCACGATGGGTTGGACACGACTTCACAACTAACAACAACAATTAAGAGCTGTTCAGAGGGACCATCTTTATTATAACTAAGGATTGTCTATCTGAAATCAAACTTAGTTATGATTTATTTAACTTCCACTAATTATGAGCTGGTTCTACATTAAATCTGGAGCAAGCCTAAAGCAGAATTGAACAATTAACAAATAATTTAATAATTAACAATTAAATCCTAGAGCTGATATTTTTGAAGTTGCTAATCCAGGGACAATTCATTACTAGCCTTTCTTTCCAATTGCTGCTAAAAAAGAAGAACTAGAACAGGCAGAAGGAAGCAGCTTTTAACAAAAGGCACAATAGCTCTGGAAAACCTCTATGGTGCCTAGAAAAATTTGGAAATCCAGGTGAGGAACATTGAGACAGAGGTCCATTGATACCATCGTGCTTAACATCATATCTGTTACATGGCTTCCACTTTTGGTCACCCTGGTTCATGAAGAAGGAATTCATTCCTTGTCCGGCGCATACAAGCTTGACTTGTTGACCCAACTTTGTTGCCTGGCAACCAAGTGCTTCACTCCAAAGGCAGTAGCTTAGCAACAGAGAATGGCATCATAGCAATCTCAGCAACTCCTCCCTTTCCTGGCCTCACCTTCTTTTTGTTTGACCTGCCAGCCATTCTTGGGAATGGATTCATTCTTGTTGATAGGCTGGGTTTCTTCCAAAATGGCCACCTCCAGCTCTGCCTCATCAGAAAAATCTAGTCAGAGAGGTGAAAAGAAGGCCAGGTACTGAGAAGTGCACAAATAAATGGTATGAGGATCCATGGTCATTTCTGAAAAAGCACTGTGCAGACTACACTTAGTAACTTTCCTCAACATAACATCCTTCAGATAAGCTGGATTATAATCCAATATATTTTGAAATGATGAGAATGAGCCTTCCCCGTCATAAATACACCACCTCTGGCCCAGGCAGTGTATATATCTTTCCTCTCCAGGAAATCAGAACTGTCCCCCATGCTTTCCCAGATTCTATTGCCTATTAACAGCCCCTACGCTTCTGACTGTCACCTCCTCTTTGAATGACACATGTGTATGTGTATGCGTGTGTGTGTGTGTGTGTGTGTGTGTGTGTGAGAGAGAGAGAGAGAGAGAGAAAGAGAGAAATATTCTCATAGATATTATGATAGACTTGACATACAGTACCAATTTGGTTCACACACATTTTAAACAGTGATTTCTTGTTATTGACTGATTTAATTTATATGGTTTCCTAACATGCCTCTTGATGTGGGTGAAGAAGGAGAGTGCAAAAGTTGGCTTGAAACTCAACATTAAGAAAACCAAAATCATGGCATCCGGTTCTCTCAATTCCTGGCAAAGAGATAGGAAGAAATGGAGGCAGTGACAGATTTTATCTTCCTGGGCTCCAAGATCACCGCAGATGGGGACTGCAGCCAAGAAATTAAAAGACGCTTCTGGGGAGGAAAGCTATGGCAAATATAAACAGCACACTAAAAAGCAGAGACATCACCCTGCCAACAAAAGTGCGTATAGTCAAGGCCATGGTTTTCTGAGTTGCAATATAAGGCTGTGAAAGTTGGACCATAAGAAAGGCTGCAGAAGACTCCTGCGAGTCCCCTGGATTGCAAGGTGATCAAACCGGTCAGTCCTAGAGGAGATCAACCCTGACTGCTCTTTAGAAGGCCAGATTCTGAAGTTGAAACACAAATACTTTGGCCACCTAATGAGAAGGAAGGGCTCACTGGAGAAGAGCCTGATGCTGGGAAAGATTGAGGGCAATAGAAGAAGGGGACTGGATGGAGTCACTGAAGCAGTAGGCGTGAACTTCAATGGACTCCAGAAGATGGTAAAGGACAGGAAGGCCTGGAGGAACATTGTCCATGGGGTTGCGATGGATCAGACACGACTTCGCAACTAACAACAACATGCTTACTCTAAGGATAGAAGCTGGTAAGGCAGGAACTATCAATTCTCAGGCCAGACAGAGTCATTATGTTAATATGGAGGAGGAGCCTCCAACTCTCAAGGCTGAAAAATGAACAACTGAAAGTCAGCACTGAAAAGAATACAGAATACCAAGAGTTGGAAGGGACCTTGAGGTCTTCTAGTCCAGGCCTCTTATGACCAATTCTCAAACTTGTGATCATTGCAGTATCCCAACAGTCACATGATCAAACTTTGGGTGCTTGGCAACTGGTATGTTTTTACAATAGTTGCAGCATCCTGGGGTCCTGGAGTGCTCATTTGCAACTTTCCTATAAGGAGCTTCTGACATGTAAACTCAACGGGGAAGGCAGATTCACTTAACAACCGCATAATTCACTTAACAATTGTAGTGATTCACTTAACAAGCATGACAAAAAGGCCATGAAATGGGGCATGATTCACTCAACAACTGTCTTGCCTAGTAACAGAAATTTTGGGCTCAATTGTGGTCATAAGTCTGACATGATGGGATGGAAAGAAAAGACCTGGGATTTAAACCCTGGGGCTGACTACCTATCTATCTATCTATCTATCTATCTATCTATCTATCTATCTATCTATCTATCTATCTATCTATCTATCTATCTATCTATCTATCTATCTATCTATTAAATAAAATTTATAGACCGCCCCACTCAATTCTCAATTCTTGTATTTTTGCATATAGCTTTTTTCTTGTCTGCAACATGGCAGCTAAAGTAGCTTTACTGAAGCTGTGAAACTTCTCTGTTAGCTATTTACAAAATTAGGAAGTTGAGTTGCTGGAAAAACTGGGCTGTATGTTCATGTCTGGCACAAACCAACACTGGCCCACAAACTCCTCAGCTTAATTTTAGTTTAGTCTATCATGTTGTACAAAGCCAGTTAAATTATATGACACTCATTCTCTCTATCTCTTTCTGGTTTATATACTAGTTTAATTTTAAATCTAGGAATCACATTTGATGTGGGGAAATGGTGTAGGTTAAAATTAAAAGTCTAATTATTAAAAGTCATGATATTTAAATCCAATTTTCACCCCGAATACATTTTTAGAACTTTTTTGTGTGACCCCACACCTTTGCAGTGAGTTTTCTTTAAAGGGAAGTCACAAGTAGCTTGTGGGCTTTCTGCGATACCAGATTTATTCACACATATATACAAGCCGAACTTCCTATAATTTTATCTTGATCTCAACTGCCTTGAGAAGTTTTTATTTTTTTAACTAAAGATGGCACAGAGAGCAAGTGGAAAGAAGAAATAAAATGAATAAAATAAGATTGTTTTGGTCTGCTGGAAACTTTGGCAGCTAAAACTGGGGGTCTCATAGAAGAACAATGTAGAATATCTGGAATTGGTGCCTCAGAATTTTGGGTTACCTGGTCCAGTTGCTTGGCTTTCCCCTTGGCCACTGTGTGACCGGCTCATCTGGATAGAGCTACCCCACATATGGACACCAAGGTGAGCCTCTGGAACAGACTCCACAAGAAAAGGGTTGTTTGTACCTTTGGAGAGACAAACAATTAGTACATTAAAATGAGTAATTTGTGCTCACTAAAAAATTCCAACTTGATTCCTACTCTCTTCTATTTACCTGAGACAAATTGCTCCAGTACCAATGTCTATGAAAATTTGTAGCCATTCATGTCATGGTTGTCCCAAAGATGCTTTTTCAAGAGGCAACTGGACTTTCTTGTTCTTCTTTGAAGACGTTTCACTTCTCATCCAAGAAGCTACTTCAGCTCTGACTGGATGGTGGGGAATGGAAGGATTTATATTCCTTGCAGACAGCTGGTCATTTGCATTCTTTTAGAAAGTCGTTGAGGCTGTTGTAGGCTGGAGATAAATGGTGTCGTGTCCCTCCCCTTCTGTTGAGAGAGGGCTGTTTGACCCTCTTTCAAACCAGCGGTCCTCTCTGTCCATACCCTTTTGTACTACTCAGGTGACCCTGATGACACAGATAAACCTCCAGGTGGCCTTCAAAAAAAAAAACTAAGAAAGTCCAATTGCCTTGTGAAAAAGGGGCTTTGGGACTCCAGTACCAAGGGAGTTTAGATATGATTCTGTGAGAGACCCATAGACTACATCAGTGATGGTGAATTTTTTGGGCTTGGTGTGTCAAAAATTTTGGAATGCCTAACCTGACTCTGCTGGCTTGTCATTGCCTCCCCATCTTCAGAAATAAAAGAGAAACAATTATTTACATATTCATTTATTTAAAAAATACAGCCCAGTCATGTGGTGCTATGCATTATTTAAACCAGTGGTTCTTAACCTGGGCAATATTGCACCCCAGGGGGCGATTTCATTTTTCAGGGGGGCGATGGAATGAAAAGGGGCAACGTGGGAGCGAAGGAACAAAAAGGGGCGATATGGGGGCAATGGAGAGAGACGTTTTGGGGACACTTTTGAGACTTTTTCGTACAGTGAATTGCTGTATAGCTGTCGTACAAAAACATCAGATTGCTCGCTATTAATGGATTGAATTGTGTTTTCAAATATTCCTCTAGCTAGCTTCAGTACAGAACGCCATACATATGTGAATAGCATCACTTATCTTCATGCACATTGCGGTTTGTTTTTATGCCCTTTTTATATTTCTTTTTGCTTCTTAAATTTCACTTTTAATTCAATCATTAAATGTTACTGTTTTTCTTTTCAGGCATTTCACTTTCTTGCAATTGCATTTTGTTTTCAGTGGTCATTACATTTAAGTGTCTTGAATAAATAAGATAATAATGTAATAGTAGTAAAGTTGGAAGGGACCTTGGAGGTCATCTAGTCCAACCCCCTGCTCAGGCAGGAAACCCTACACCATTTCGGACAAATGGCTGTCCAGTCTCTTCTTAAAAACTTCCAGTGTTGGAGCATTTACTGCTTCTGGAGGCAAGCTGTTCCACTGATTAATTGTTCTCACTGTCAGGAAGTTTCTCCTTAGTTCTAGGTTGCTTCTCTCCTTGATTAGTTTCCACCCGTTGCTTCTTGTCCTGCCTTCAGGTGCTTTGGAAAATACATGTATCACGAAGTTTGGGAATAAAGTGGTGGGTGGCACCAAAATTTTTCACACAGTTGAGATATGGGAAAAAGACTGGAAATAAATTATTTGCATCGATATGTCTAGATGGCAATTTTAAAGAAAACAAGAAAAGTGTTTGCATAAATTGAAGAATTATTTCTTATGTTGTGATTGAGAGGGGGGCAATGACAACGTCCTCATTGGCTCAAGGGGGCGATTCTTTCAAAAAGGTTAAGAACCACTGATTTAAACAAATGTCAAATAATTACAAAAACAAAATACAAGTAAAACAAACACATTTTCAGAGGGTCCAGAGGCCGCGTGAGAGCAGACCCCACTTTTTGCATGGCCTCTGCAGCGTCCAAAAATTATGCAAAAATGGGATGTGATATCAAGAATAGCCATGGAATGGTAGCATATCATCCAAAATTTTATTGCATGTCGTAGGTTTGTCACCACTGGGCTATATCATCCTAATAACATTGCTGATTGGGCCAAATAGACCTGTTGAAATAATACTGGGTTCCAGAGCAGCAACCTGTCCCTTTACTCTGATTTATAGCTTTCTATTGCTTAGGGTCATGGCAGAACCTGAAAGAAGGGTAGAGCTACCCTATCTGGACTATGACTATGACATAGCAGCAAAGAATTAACATGTGGTATCTCTTGCCTGTTATCTAGAGGTCATCCAGATTTTTGCAGGGAAGACATGGTAGCTCTAATGAAAACTTTCAGTTGCCATTCAGTTTGTGGGAACAAACTCTACTTCCTCTTGCATTTTTGCCATTTAGGTATAATTTATAATTGTTCATTCCACTTTCAAAATATACTTCAACCTTTGATAAATTCATTTTCAGACCCATACTCCTCAATGTATCATACAATCTCATTTTCACTGCAGGCCATTTGGGTTTTTAGCTAACTACATATCTGTGGTGGCATCCAAATATACATTCACATCCCTGTCAACAGACTTGTAATATTTCCATAAACAAGGAGAAATCGCACATCTTTGTCTTCTGTTCAACAATGAACCATTTGCAAGCATTGGATTTATTTTCCCATAAGCACTCCTTCCATTTGTATACTACACTCACTGCATTCAGCAATCAACCTTCAACGATATATGTGTAAAATATCTCATAAATTGAAGTGTATTAATTTTGTCACATACTTTCTTTAAATCAACATATAGATAATCATCACTTTGTTCACATTCATTCATATTTTTCACTTCTCAATGATACACTGCAAAGCAAAAATCTGGTCTCCATAGCCTTGGCCAGGAAAAAAACTGCACTATACTTTCTCCGTTTTACACACAGTAACTTTCTGTACCCTTTTAATCAGATGTCTGCTGTACTACACATTTAGCAAACTTGTCTGCCTGTAATTTGGACATTCATTCTTACTATTTTTTCCTTTAAAAACCAGAGGAAGTCTGGTTTTTCTGACTAACAAATAATAATAATAATAATAGTTTTATTATTTTAAATTTTATTAAAAGGCATAAGCTTTCATAAACTGCTGATCATGTTATCCAATGTATTGAATGATTTGACTGGTTTAGGATTTAATTGGGATGAGAGGATGGGAGGAAATTCCAATTTTAGCTCTACTTTGGAAGTACTCTATGGATCTGATGAAGTGAACTGCAGTTTGCAGCTCACAAAACTGCAGCTTTTAATAACATGTGTCAGAAAATACACTACCAGATTCCTCCTGATTTTTGGCTACTACAGATTAGCTTTCTCAACCTTGGCAACATTAAGATGTGTGGATCATCTCCCAGAATTCCCCAGTCAAAAGTAACAAATTAGCAAACATGCTTAATTCTTAATTAAAAGAAAATATCCAAAGGATGTCAAATCCAAGCTCTTTAAGACTAGTCTTGAAAATAATCAATATTTCATAATGTGCATTTTCCTGAAGAGTTGCTGTTACTCTTTCTTTACTTTTTCTTTTATTTTGTTTATCCTTGAAATGCATCCACTCTGCCAACAATCATCTTAAGTGGCAAAAGAGGAAAGCTATGGCAAATTTGTGACACGTTACACATAAGCCAATTAGGGAGTAACAAATGATAACAGTGATATTATTATTATTCAGAAAGCACAAATGACCTATCTGCAAATCTGCAGATTTGAGCAAATCAATGTTGACTAAGCTTTACCTGCTGAAAGAGAAGTTAGCAGTTCTAAAAGAAGAGAGCATAAGACTGGAAAGAACAGGATACTCACTATTCCCCAGGCTGTGTTCACTGCAAGATTCCATGAGTGGGATGCGTTCCTCGGCTTTTTGCCTCCCCCGGCACCCCTTCACCTTGGTGTCTGTATTGGCCTGAACCATAAGTGGCTCCTGGCGCTTTCGGCGTTGCTTCTTTTCAATAATACGGCGCTGAAAAGGAGTTCAGAGAGATTGCAAATAAGGAAAAGTTACCATCTACTTACTTACAAAGAGGCACACAAAATTCATTTTTAAATGTCTGTTCTGACGTTCAGTGACAGATCAGCTTTCTAGGGCAGCCTTTATTTTTATTTTTCATTCCCTAGTGTTGTTCTTATGGTCCAACTTTCATAGCCATACATTGCAACTGGGAAAACTATGGCCTTGACTATACATACTTTTGTTGGCAGGGTGATGTCTCTGCTTTTTAGTATGCTGTCTAGATTTGCCATAGCTTTCCTCCCCAGAATTCCAAAGAATGGAGGCCTTTGAACAATAGTGCTGGAGAAGACTCCTGCGAGTCCCCTGGACTGCAAAGTAATCAAACCGGCCAGTCCTAAAGGAGATCAACCCTGACTGCTCTTTAGAAGGCCAGATCCTGAAGTTGAAACTCAAGTACTTTGGCTACCTAATGAGAAGGAAGGGCTCACTGGAGAAGAGCCTAATGCTGGGAAAGATTGAGTGCAATAGGGGACGACAGAGAATGAGGTGGCTGGATGGAGTCACTGAAGCAGTAGGCATATGTTTAAATGGACTCCAGAAGATGGTAGAGGACAGGGAGGCCTGGAGGAACATTGTCCATGGGGTCGCAATGGGTTGGACGCGACTTCGCAACTAACAACAACAAGTGTTATTCTGAAAGTGCAGGGTCCACTTTTTCAATTGAATATTGGTCCATTGGCTGTGACAGGAATTGACTGACCTGTTTGTTGCCCAAGCCTAACACTGTGGTCTGAGAGAGAGTGAGCTGTCCACAGCAGCATATAAATTTAATAAATGCAACCTACTTTCAACTCTGTAGGATTGATTTCTGACAGAAACAAATAGAACTGTTTTTAGCCAGGAAGCAATTGCACAGGAATGAATGTACTATGGCTTGCCACCTTCTTCTTCTTCTTTTCTTTTTCCTTTTCCTTCTCCTCCTCCTCCTCCTCCTCCCTTTTTGCCTCCAAATTTCCATTGCTAAGCTAGAGAGCTGTTAAGTGAATTTTGCCCCATTTTACAACCTTTCTTGCCACAGTTGTTAAGTGAACCACTGCAGCTGTTGAGTTAGTAACAAGGTTGTTAAGTGAACCTGGCTTCCCCACTGACTTTGCTTGTCAGCAAGTCGCAAAAGCTGATCACATGACTCCAGGACACTGCATCTGTCATAAATACGAATCAGCTGTCAAGTGTTCGAATTGTTATAATGTGATCAGAGGGATGCTGCAATGATCATAAGTGTGAAAAATAATCACAAGTCACTTTTTTCAGTGCCATTATAACTTTGAACAGTCACTAAATGAACTGTTGTAAGTTGAGGACTACCTATATGATAATAGATTTAATTTTAAAATAAAATAAAACCTGGACATTCATAAAGGGCTCAGCTATATTTTTGAGGGATGTACCTCAATCCACCTGGTTGAGAAGATGCCTCATTGAGTTTCTTTCACTCCCTAGCTCTGAACTAATATTTATACTGAGATGTGGTAAGAAGTATTTATACTGAGATGTGGTAAGATGTATTATTTTTATTTTGGTGTTGTTCTTCATATTAATTGTGTTATTTATATATCAGCTTTCCTCTCAAAAGAACCCTGAGTAGGCACACTTCTACAAGGTGGGAGCCCAAACACCATGCAACAAACTTCTTCACACAAAGAGAAGAGCTGGCTTGTGTTTTTCAAACACCACTACAAGCAACACGATGGAAGGACTGAGTTTAGAGTTCTGTATCTTACTTGCAGTTTTCTTACGGACAACATAATTTCCCTTATGTGTCTATTGCTCCACACTGCTTTTAGCCTACCCACCTCATCTCTCATTGCATCAGATGTTTCTTCATAAGCCATTTCTTCTCATCCCAATACCACCACAGAACCAGAAAAGTCTTTTCCCAGCAAAATACCTGGAATTCCAGTTTCTGCTTCCGGATCAATGCTGCCTCACCACTGCCATTACTAGAAGGAAAAGAGGTGCCAGTGTTAAGAGGTGAACTGGGGAAGGCACGGAGGCGGCGATACAGATTGTGGTACATTTTGAGATGTGGCATCAACTCTGCCAGCTCCAGGGCAGCCCCATCCGCTGACAGGTGGGCCCCCAGGATTACCTGCTTCCCAAAGATTCTGAATGTCATGGCATTACAGAGACTTTGTGACCTCACAAAAGCTTCAAGGGGCATCCAGGTCTGGGTTGGGAAAAGGGTTTTTATGCTGAGACATCACTCCCCCGCAGTGTTCACCCCACCCAAAGCTCATTAATTAAGCACTATTTTCCATTCTGTTTTCCAAACCAGTGTCCTTCAGACATCCGATGCTACCATCCCAATCACATCCAATCAGCATGATTAACCATAATGGCTGGAAGATATAGGAATTGTGATCTATATCTTTAGATACAAGATCAACAAAGGCTGATTCAATGCATCATGTTTTAAATCCCGTTTAAGCATGTTTAAGCCACTAAATATTGTATTGCTGGTACGATTAATAATCTTGCATTATTTGATATCATGACAGAGCTACATTAAGGAGCCATGGACATTATTTGTTAAGTCAGCGATCCTAAGATCTTCCCTCAAGCTTTAATCTAATCCTCATCAGCCAAATGAATCTCTTGTAGTGTTATAACATCTATCATTATATTATTATATTATATTATATTATATTATATTATATTATATTATATTATATTATATTATATTATATTGTTAGCAATCCCATTGCAATTCTATGGTTCCACATTATGGTGATTTTATTATGATTTTATCTTAATATATTATCTCCTATATTGTATTGTCCACATATTATTTATTATTTTATACATATACATACATTTACATATATTTGCTGACACTTTATTTAAACTAAATTTTCATATCAGTGATTGCATGATCTCTGTAGATACCATACGCTAAATAAATAAATAAAAGCCATTTTCAAGGACCACTTCCGTCTTAGAGAAATTGCCTCAAAGACAGAGGCAACCTTTTCTATACAGTGTTGCATATTCAAGCTGCCATTCTTTCTCCACCAGGGTCATCTCAGAACCCCCACAAAAGTTCAGGCCTCAATCAAAGTCCTTTTGACGGTCAAACTAGTATAAAATCAAAATATATACAAAGTACTAAGAAGACCCCAAAGCAGACGGCTACTATTCTAGAAAGAACAAAAATAATGAGATGTCCCATCCTAAAGCTTCACTGAACTAGAAGGCTAGAGCAGGCTGGGATATTACGTTTAGATTAAAAGTACAATAATGTGAGCTTCTAATGTCACAACTGAAGTAGAAGGCAAAGTACAATTGTTTTATGTGGAGACAATTTATTTATGTATTCAATCTATAGGCTGTCTGAGGCCCAACAACTCCAGACAGTTTATAATTAAAAAGTAAAAAAAAGAGCAAATATATAAACTAAACCAATCTAATATAACAGGGGCTCAACCATTTCTATCTCCCTAAGCCTGGGAGAATAAACAGGTTTGCTTTTCAACTGTCATCAGAGAGGGAGCCATATTGATTTCTCAGAGGAAATCATTCTATGGGCAAGCACCATGACAGAGAAGACACCAGAAGAAATTTCTAATCAAGGGGACCTGGAGCGGGCCCATTCTGCTTGATCTCACCAAATGGACAGAAACAACAAAGGCAGGCAGTTCCTCAGATAAAAAGGCCTTATGCCATGAAGCATCTAAATGTAGAATTCCCTATCAAAACAGTGGCATGTGATTTTAATACACATATAAATGATGGAAGTTACAATCAAATCCCACCAAAGCAAAAATGCATTCTGATATTATCTTTTTTCCTGCATGAACTTCCCTTCCATCTTCCAAAGAAATTTCCACCATTTCCAGGAAGAGCAGAGATTTTTTAGTTGTGGCCCTGAGATGGTGAAAGAGGCCTATCCAAATTCTATTTTTTGGCCTCAGGGAAAAACCTGTCCAGCCATGTTGCTCACTAGATGATGTGAGGCCAAGCTTGCCTCACAAAGTTGTTCTGAGGGTGAAGTGGAATCACTCAGTCTGCTTTTATCCTTAGAGCAGTATTTCTCAACCTTGGCATTTTAAGATGTGTCGATTTCAAGTCCCAGAAGCTTGCTGACTGGGGAATTCTGGGAGTTGAAGTCCACATGTCTGAAAGTTGCCAAGGATGAGAATCACTGCCTTAGAGAGAAGAGATATAAATGTAATGAATATATACAGCATATGAGACCTATCTTATCTTTTCTAGTTTATATGTAGCTACTTACTGATGTACTAGAAAAAAAATGCAGTCTTCATTTTGACCATCCATCCATTGGCCCACTATTGTTCCCAAATGGATGCAAATTCCAGCCTCCACATCAGAATGGATCTTCTTGAACCCATTCCCAAGCCAATCATTTCACACTGGCAATCCCGTTAGGTTTTCACTCCAGTATTATTTCCAATTCTTTTTTTTTAAAGTGGCACATTCTTTCTATTTGAAGCCTGTTCTGAGTGGGTGGTAGGTTCATGTCTGATACAAGGGCCAGCCAATCAGAGCTATGGATAGCCTTCTTCTGAGAAAAAGCAAACAGGAAGTTTGTCTTTTGCACTTTGAGTTGGTCACAATATGGACAGCAAATAAAATGAAAATTCTGATGCTAAAATAGAAGTAGCTATTTAAAATTAAAAATAAAGACTCAATCCTTCAAAGAAACTTCCAATGGAAAATCTCAGCCTTGCTCACAGGTGTGACATGACCCGTCTAGGCTTTCCTTCCCAAAACATTCAGTACAGGTAGTCCTTGCTTAACAATGATAATTGGGACCAGAATTTCTATCACTAAACAATGCAGTTGTAACATGCAATGTTACATGACCATGCTACTTAGTAACTGGCAATGCCCAGTTACCACTGTTATGCGAATCATAAGTTGTTAAGCAAGCACCTCACCATTGTGACTTCTGACTTCCTGCTGGCTTTCCCATTGGTTTTGCAGATAATATCAGAAATTGTGATCATGCAATTACAGAATAATAAGAAACCTGGCCCATTTGTCTATCACATGGATCATAGTCATGTGATCTTGGGGGTGCTGTGATAACGACTTTCAAGAACCACTGTAAGTATCACTTTTTCAGTCCTATTGTAAGTTCAAATGGTTGCTGAATGAGTGGTTGTTAAATCAGGACCACCTCAGCACATAGGCCGAGGTAGGCCTACCAAATTTAGACAGAAAACCTCAACTCTTCGCTGCCCATTACTGGTTATTTTTATATAAATAGCATAAAATAGGGCTAGACACTGGTATTCTTTTCCATTGGAAGTTTGAATAGATTCAAACATCCATTCCCACCACGTCACTGTTGTGTTGTCATCTTCCTTACCTTCCAGGAGTGGATGTAGTTGAGGATTCCATTATGCTGAGGAGAAAAATCAGTACAGAAGAATCAAATCACGAACATTAAAATGGCTTTCCCCATGCTAAATCAGGTCCTAATCATTCAGTGAAATTAATGATTAGAGTCTTCTGTTTTTATCATAAATACTGTGTTCCTATCTCAAACAAGCCATACCTATAGAACTCCAAGCCATTTTAATCTAAATATAGGTCTACAGTATTACATTTGGACTATAAAAATCCTACAGATCATTAGATGACAGCAATATGATCTCTAATGTTATGTTCAAAATCTGGGGGATTTCATGCATGTAAAAAGGATAAGCTTACATGGCAAGGTTGTGACTTTGTCTTTTTTTCCTTTCCTTATCATTTAAAAGTACAGGTAGTCCTCAACTTACCACCATTCATTTAGTAACCTTTCGAAGTTACAACCTACACTGAAAAAAAGTGAGTTATGACTGTTTTTCATATGACTATTGCAGTATCCCCGTGATCACAGGATCAAAATTCAGACACTTGGCAACTGGCATGTATTTATAACAGTTGTAGTGTCCCGGGGTCGTGCGATCATCTTTAGCTACATTCTGACAAGCAAAGTCAATGGGAAAGCCAGATTCACTTAACACCCATATTATTAATTAACAACTGCGGTGGTTCACTTAACAACTGTGGCAAGAAAGGTCATAAAAGGGAACAAAACTCACTTAACAACTGCATTGCTTAGCAACAGGTATTTTGGGCTCAGTTGTGGTTGTAAGTCAAGGACTACCTATACAGCCTGCAAAGGCCATCAGTTAAAGGTTGAATGCCTTACTTAATAAGTCGAGAGAGAGAATGGGGTCTAAAAGTGAAAGTATTCCCACTGCTGAGAACTTGATAACTTTACCTCATTCAAGCTGCCAAAATTTTGATAATGTGTGGGAAATTCACTCTCTTTTACCATAGAGTGTTTTGCAGCCCAGTTTATTGCAGAGAGCCAGTCTGGTGCCGTGGTTAAACACAGAGTTTAGGCTGGGAGACTTTGGGCCAGTCTCTCTCTCTCTCTCTCAGCCCTAGGAAGAAGGAAATTGCAACTCACTTCTGAAAATATTGCCAAGGAAACTACAGGGATTCATCCAGATAGTTGCCAGGAGTCAAGACGAACTCAAAGGCACAGGAGAAAAAGTAGTAACAGTAGTAACTATTAACAGCCCAGTCCAAGCACTGAACAGAGATTCAGGAAAAAATGAGGAATTGCTGTTCTGTTCTCATTTATTTCACATTGTTTCTACCATGTGTCCAGATATATTTTGAATTCCCTTATACATACATATTCATACATGTTTCTCCTTGAATTCCCTTATACATATATATATTCATACATGTTTCTCATACATCTGCCTCTTCTAGGCCATGTTTATAATTTTTGGAGCTAAAAGAGTTAAACGAAGTTACTCAAGTGGCCCAAAAGAAAATAAGCTTCAGTTTAACACAAATTGATATATGCTGGATTAAAAACCTGAAACTTTTGATTCAATCCAACAGAAATCCAGGGAAGTGAAAAAGTCCTGAAAATTCACATATTTACCCTTTTAATTTCCAGCATGCACATTCCTGGAAATAGTGAAACCAAATGTTCCCTTTATTCAGATTTGATTTGTTGGTTGATGATGATCAAAGCACCAGTTCAAACATTAATCAAGTTTTTACAGTCCATTAAAATCCCTTGGACTGCAAGGCGTTCAAACCGGTCCCCGACTGCTCTTTAGAAGGCCAGATCCTGAAGATGAAATTCAAATACTTTGGCCACCTAATGAGAAGGAAGGACTCACTGGAGAAGGGCCTAATGCTGGGAAAGACTGAGGGCAATAGAAGAATGGGACGACAGAGAATGAGGATGGAGTCACTGAAGCAATAAGCGTGAGCTTAAATGGATTCCAGAAGATGATAGAGGTCAGGAAGACCTGGAGGAACGTTGTCCATGGGGTCGCGATGGGTCGGACACGACTTCGCAATTAACAAAAAATCTATCATAGCAACTCCTAACAAAGGCATTGTAACTCATGCTCAGCTTAATTTTGAAGGTAAATGTTGCCAGAACAAATCTTTATAGAAGGATTTTGACTGTGGGAGAATTCTAACAGATCTTCTTGTATATAATATCCGTTCCTTTATTTAAGGTGACTTCATAAGCTGTAGGCATATATTACTAAATGAACCACAATCCTAACAAGAGTGATGCCTGGAGAATATTTTTGGCCCAGGAAGGCTGCCAATACAGATGTTGAGGAGTTTGGGGAGGCAGGGGGAATGAATTAAAATAATGATTTAGGAAAAAAAACTCAGGGGAGAAAATTTCAATCAAATGCTTTCTCATTAATTTAGCAGCTGTCCCAGAAAATGGCTGAGATCTACAGATGGATTCCAATACTGTAAAATACCTTCTCATGATGAATAAAGAATTCAGGATGGAGAAAAGCACATTGTGACATTTCTTTCCTAGGGCGGGTAAATAGTAAATTGATATGCGAAAGTGGACGAAGAGGCAATTATTTTCTGCTTCAGTGTTTTTCCTAACTTAGCCAGTGAAGCCCAAAGACCTAGTTTTTACCATCAGCAATCACAGTAGAAAATTTACAAAGCTGCCTTGATGCTGTGTCAGACTCGGTTATCAAGCTTAATATTGTTAACACTACATATGGGTTTTTTTCCCACAGGCATCTAGCCGCCCACAAACATCCTCAGGCAGCACTTCATTGTTCTGATCCTTGACTCTTCCTTCATCTTCTCTCCACCAGTGCCTCAACTCATTCTTGATTTTATAGCATTTGATTTTCCATCTTACTCTGGCACCAACCAAAGGCATCCTTCTATAACAGTGTTTCTCAACCTCAACAACTTTAAGATGTGTGGATTTCAACTCCCAGAATTCCTCAGCCAGCTGTGCTTGAGAATTCCACACATCTTAAAGTTGCCCAGGTTGAGAAACACTGGTACAGAGGACTAAATCTGTTAAATTTTGTCACCCATTACCATGGAGGGAAGTCAGGTGACTGGGGCCCAGGCAATAGAGACATGATAGGAATTCGCCACAGGAACAGCTGATTACATGATGGTACACTTTTCCACTGGATCAAGAATTAAGGAGGAATATTTCACCTCACAAAGAGAAAAATCATATCAAGAGGTCAACAACATTGCAGACAATGGTCCTATCTATACCTACTTAGAGAAATCTACGATTGTATTTGTTGATAATATTCAATCGATTATCTCTACTCTTGGAGACTCACTACAAAGGCAGTATAGTTCATATTGAAGCTTGAAGAATCAACAGCCTAATTCATTCATATATATAAAAAAACTCCCTTTGTAATCCCTTAATCTGGGGTCGAGTCAGGGTGACTGGATGGTTGGATGGGTGGAAAGATGAATAAATTCATCCATACCTATACCTATAACTATACACAACATTAAAATACATATACATATACGTATGTATACATATATACACATGTACACATGTACATTTCTTGGTGTAAGACATTTCAGCAATTACATTTGTTCTGAATTTATGGATGATTAGAAAGCAGTTGGGAACATATTATTAGATTTCTTGGATAATTTCCAGAAGATTATAAAAGTTTCTAATCCCCAGCGTCCAAAAACAATAAAAAAAAATGTTTGCCTCCTCCTAAATGAGATTGCTGATAAAAAAAATGTCCTTAATAACTATAAAGATTGGATAGATAAAAACTAGACAGGAATTCTGCTGTGCTCCCAAGTGCCCTATTCTTACTGTGCTGTGAGTCCCTTTGCCTGAGTCACAGGTTTTGTATCTGATTCCACTTGTAGGTCTCGGGATTTGAATAAAAAGCTCAGCAGATTCTACATGCCTGAAATCTGCCCATTTCTGTCCTAGATAGTAGAGTTCACAACAACGCAACCGGTTTTGCCTTTAGAAGTCTTCAAAAAAACACAACCTTAGGAGACTAAGAGTGTGGATTAAAAACGTGAAGGTATGGTAATACCAAGGCTGTCCATTTCTGGCATCTGTGGTTATCCTAAGACGGACAGGGAATTAGAGATTAACATAAATAAAACCCCGAGGCACACACTCACACACATCTATATAGAGAATGCTCTCTGTAACTTACATCTTGTGTCTCGGAGATGACTGCACTAAAATAGGCTCCAACTGCAACTGGGGGGAAAAAACAGATGTTTAAGAATATCTTGCAAAGTAGTTTTCTTAGCACCTTTAAGTATGGCCCAGCAGTTTTAGCTCTGACTCCAAAAGTGTCTCTGTTTTAAATCACTGGACTCTACTTATTTCTCTTTGAAGCAAGGAGTCTTTGCTTTCTCCTTTTTTTTTTTTTTTTGTCCCTGTTACAAGCTTCAGAATCCATTATTGCTCTCTGTGCTCAGTCACTTTTGACGCACACTAAAAACATGTTTCAAATATTTGTATCCCACCGTTTGCTATGGAATGCCAACAAAGCTAAGTGATCAACACAACAGAACGATATTCAATACCAAAAGAAGTCAGGCTCCCTTTTTACTTACCCTCTTTCTACGGTATCCAGCAATCCCAGTTCTCAAATCTCAAACATCCAAGTTAGATCCTGCCCTCCCTCCCATTTTTTTTTCTCTTTCTCTCCCTTCTTCTTTCTCTCGCTCAGTTCTGACGTTGCCTTCAAATTGCAGCTGGCTCAGTGGGAGGGCAGTTGACGGTCCCTCCTCCTCTCCCACCAAAACCGGCATCTCATTCTCTCTTGCTTAATCAGCTTTGTCTGTCTTAAGTCTCCAGGTTTTGTGGCTGGCATAGTCTTCTTTATGGAGACTTTATAGTTTGTTTATATAAAGCTCTACTATAGGCTGTGCCAGTAGGCACGTGTTCCTCTACCATGTTTGCATATACTTAAAACTGAGAAAGTGGGTATGTGAGTGATTAGCTTCAGAAATCCATGTGGGTATATTTAGATAATTAGGTCCCCCAATGTCCATGGCTGTGCATAAGATCTTAGTTATGCAAGTAATGGGAAAAGACAATTGTGGGTATGTGTTCTGTCACCTACATGTGAGCATATTAATTGCCTTTCTCTATGAAGGTGTATAAGATTATTGAGGCCCCCAAAAGGGAGATGCCCACAAAACCAGATGCAGAAATTATGCACAAATGAGCATGTGTGAACACAAAGCATCATATAGTTTTTAAGCATCATGATGCTCATATAAGCAGTTTTGCATAATTGGCAATTCAGTGACTTGGATTCAGATTGAATTTTCATTCAGCCAGGCTGGTACAACTCAATAGCCCATTTTGTTTTTCCTGTAGAAGCTTCTGCAGACTTAGGAAAATATTACATGCTGGATCAAGGAATCCCATGAGGTATGATGGAAGGGAGGAATTCCTGAAAATTGGAGGCATCTTCTGTGACATAAATTCTGCTCTTACAAAGAATTTCCATTCAGTTTTCAGATATTCCCTCCCAGCTCAGTAGCTGACCTAATTCAGGACTCTCCTGATGTTCTATATATGTGACTGGCTGTCATGGCCGAATAACAGAGTTGGAAGGGACCTTGGAGGTCTTCTAGTTCAGCCCCCTGCTCAAGCAGGAAATTCTATACTATTTCAGACAAATCGTTTTCCAATCTCTTCTTAAAAACCTCCAGTGTTGGATCACTCATAACGTCTGAAAGCAAGTCATTCCACTGATTGTTTTAACTATCAGGAAATTTCGCATTAGTTCTAGGTTGTTCTCTTCTTGATTAATTTCCATCCATTGCTTCTTATATTTCCTTCTGGTGCTTTGGAGAATAAATTGGACCCCTCTTTTTTGTGGCAACCCCTTAGATATTGGAACACTGCTATCATATAACTCCTACTCCTTCTTTTCATTAAACTAGACAAACCCAATTTCTGCAACTGTTTTTTTTATATATTTTAGCTTTCAATCCCCTAATCATCTTTGTTACTCTTCTCTGCACTCTAGAAAGTCTCATTATTTTTTTTATATTGTGGCAAATAAAACTGGATGCAATATTCCAAATGTGGTCTTACCAAGGCATTATAAAGTGGTATTCAAACTTTACATGATCTTGATTCTATCCTCGTTAATGCAGCCTAGGACTGTATTGGCTTTTTTTCGCCTACAGTTCCTTTTTTAAATGTCTGTCCACCAGGACTCCAAGATCCCTCTCACAGTTACTACTCTTGAGCCAGGTACCACCTATTCTGTACCTGTGCATTTGTTTTTTCTTGCCTAAATGTAAAACCTTACTTTTCTCTATATTGAATTTCATTTTGTTAGATAGGGCAGTCTGTCAAGATCCTTCTGTTTCCTGAGCCTATCTTATTCGCTATTCCTGCCAGCCTGGTGTCATCTGCAAATTTGATGAGTTGATGGTGAGATGAATAACTCTGTACCAGTTGCAGGCACACTCATTCCCAGTATTAAATGTTCAGGAAATGCCTATGGGAATGTCTTTACATCAGCTTTCCTTTAACTATTGTTGTACTATTCCCATAATCCCCATTTAGCATGAATTTCAGATTTGCAGAGCACCAGTTTGGGAAAGATTGTCTTTGGCTTAAACTAGTGTTTCTCAACCTAGGCAATTTTAAGATGTGTAGACCTCAATTCCCAGAATTCCCTAACCAATTATTCCCTAGCCAGGAATCTTGGGAGCTGAAGTCCACACAATTTAAAAGTTGTCAAATTTGGAAAACACTGGCTTAATCTATTTGGTAATCACAACAAATGGTAGCTCCTAGCTAAACCCGTCCAATTAAAAAAAAAACTTCAGTGCCAGGTTGATGAATACTTGGACGGGACACCCACCATGAAATCTGAGAGTGGCATACTCTAATAAGGAGTTGAACAAAAATCTCAGAAGACACAATGGCAACAAATTTCATGGCCATTAAAACAATATGTTTCTCTGATATGACAAGGAATCAAGCTTGTGTGAAAGGAACTTTAATATGAAAGTCTCTAGTCATTTACGGTTTTGTATTCTGTTATCATAAGCTAATAGTCTGTCTACTTATTCAACTGTATTTCATCAAGAGAGACATATCTTTCCTTATTTACATTACAGTGATATTGTTGGATTGAACTACAACCTCATCATTCTGTCCCAGTCATTATCTCTAAGAGGCTCCAAAACAGAGACTTAAAATCCCCGTTTTCTTGTCTAAAATCTGACATTCAGAAGCGTCATCTTTGAATATGTGAATTTCCTTTTAGTATTCCTGGCTAAGATGTATTGATCAATGCAGTTTCAATTCATTTATTTAACCCTTTAAAAATCTATAGTAACTACTAATTACTTAGATACTGCATTTAGATTTACTGAGTTTCACCCTGTGTTATGTACTACATATTTTTTGTTAGCCCGACTGAGCTCTTTAATTAGGAAAACCCAAATTCTAGAAATGAATAAGCAAAAAGAAAGCTTATCTAACTACTTTCTTAATCTTATTAATAACTTTACAAATTGTTATCAATTCACATTATACCTTAGCATCATGTGTCTTGTTCTTTGTCTTAGTGTAATGTGCAAACCCACTATGGTTCGTAAATTGAATTTATGACTTGGTGTTATGTGTGAATTCAACTATTAGGCTCATTTCAAGAAATTATGCTTTTTTAAAAAAAAACATATCTTAGTACACTACATGATAAGATAAACACCAAGTCATAAGTCTTTACAAACAGAGTGTCCCATATGTGCTGGAACTTAAACAGAAAAATAAGTATTTCTTTTTTTACCTTTCATTAACTTACCTTATCTGGAGATTTCAGCCTTTTTGACATGCTAATATCATCTTCCCAATAGAGCATGGCCATTGCACTTTTTTATCCTATAATCCTAAAAATGTATTTGCCAATATATTTTTGCAAAACAGCCTTTGCTATTTGTTTTTTAAAAAAATCCCTCAGGGAATAGATCAGCTCAAGTTTAAAAGTTGCTACTTCACTTAACTTTCTCCCTGCTAATTAATATTTTTATTTGAACAACTCACTGAAGCTGCTTTATCACTTGTATATGTAATGTTAAGGGCTAGGTTGCCAAACAGGTTACTGTTTTCTTATTGAACAATGGGTAACCATGACAGTGCCAGCCAGCTACAAAGGATTAAAAATCGTGTTCTGTTCTGGAATGATGAATTCCAGAATGTTTAGATAATGATTTTCACAATTCCCTTAAGGAAGTCTCCCACAACTGTTACTTCCTGTAACCTGGTTTTATCCAGATGGACCACTTTGCAATTTCCATTAATCCTGGCCAGTATAGTAGTTGTCATCAGGTTGGAAAAAAACTATTCTAGAAAACCAATTTTAACATAGCATGACCTGATTTCTATGGCTCTTATGTGTGCTAATTTTGTTTGGTTTATATCATTTGTCTACCAAAAATCTTCCATCAAATTTATTCTCATTTTTGTTCCTTCATTTTTGATTCTCCTTCCCCTGAAATAAACTCGTTTTTCCAGGCCAGCTTACTAAACTCCTTAATCACCTTCTCACAGCTGTGACTGATTCCTACATTCCTCTCTTCCATCTTGTGCTTCTCAATTGCTTTTTGCTGTCTGCTTTTTCAATGTATTATTTGCAGATATAAAACAAAATAGAATGCTGATATAATTTTTCTTATATAGGTAGTCCTCAACTTACAACAGTTCACTTAGTGTCCATTCAGCATTACAATGGCACTGAAAAAAGCAACATATGACCATTTTTCACACTTACGACCATCACCACATCCCCATGATCACGTGATCAAAATTGAGATGCTTGGCAAGTGACTCATATTTATGACAGTCGCAGTGTCCCGGGCTGATGTGATCGTCTTTTGTGACCTTCTGACAAGGAAAATCAATGGGGAAGTCAGATTTATTTAACAATCGTGTTACTAACAACTGCAGTGATTCACTTAACAACTGTGGCAAGAATGGTTGCAAAATGGAGCAAAATTCATTTAACAAATGTCTCACTTAGCAACATACATTTTGGGCTCAATTGTGGTCTTAAGTCAAGGACTACTTGTACTGTATTTTTCTAACCTTTTAAAATTCCTGCCCACACAATCCCATGCACCAAATAGCCCACCAAAACTTTTGAACAGCAATCCACTTGCAGGCCTGCCTGGGACTGCAGAAGTAGAAACAGATTGTAAAATCTAATTCCCAGGTTCCATTTTAAAACTGGACCCCATGGCTTAAACCACTGTTTCTCAAATGTTGGCAGCTTTCTGTGAACTTCAATGCCTAGAATTCTCTAACCTGCCATGGGGAATTCTGGGTATTGAAGTCCACAAATCTTAAAGCTGCCAAGTTTGAGAAACATTAAAACATCAATCCTGCCCCTCCTGATATTTGCTTTCTATGTAATCAAAGCTAGAATTTGGGAAAGTCCAAATCTTCATTTGCCTACCTTTTAAGAATCCATTTGGAGATTTTTCCTGTGGACAAATCTGAATTTTAATTAAAAAAGAAATTCCTGTGCAGTTTTTAATTAGGGCTATCCCATTTGGAGGGCAAAAAATCCGGACAGCACATAAGACGACAGCAAAAAGTTAGCTTTCACTAATAGCGATTATCTGAATTTTCGCAACCGAGATCGGATATAGTTCTAGTTTTATGCACTTTGAACATGCTCAGGAGCAGGTTTGGTTATTGTTTTTTTCACCCAGGCTTCAATTGATTACTTGAATTCCAAATAAATTTATAAGGAAATCCTGCCATGCATTTATCCTGACACATTATATTCAGTGACCTTGTCCTTGGTTTTATCAGACTTATTTCTTTCGGT